AAGAAAAATCCCCTGCAATCAAAACCAAAAAACCAAACTTCCAGAACCTGGTAGTTTCCCCTTATGGAAATGTTCAGCATGACAGTGTCAAGGGAAAATGTGACTGTTTCAGGATGCTGCAGCATCTGTTTTGTAAACGTAGCCAGTAAACGCTGAACGAATTCACTTTGATGCCATTCTGATAGGAGCGCATCTCCCCCTGTGCCCCCCCCCTCAGACTTAACCATACAGCCACCTCAGACTGAAAGTTTAGTTTTTGCTTGAAAGAAAGATGTAACTGTCAAACCCAGAATACCACAAATAACCCACAGATTTTTGCACATTCGTTTCTCCCCTACCACAAAAAAGTGAAGAGTGTTGAATAGAGACCATGCTATAACTGCTTACAAAAGTGAATAAAATGTAGTTAATCTTGAAGCCTAAAATAACTAATTCAGAAAGAAATAAGTCTCACTACAGTCTTTCAGCAAACACAAAGGCAAGTTCATTAAAAACACAGAAAAATGAAAAAAAATGCAGAGTAATTACAAGCACTAAATATTTTGCTATGAAGCTTTTGAAATCTATTTACATACATAAATACAAGTAACTCTGTTGATGCAACCCTTTTAAGACAAGGAGAAAAATGCCAAGTGATCGGTACTGACCAAGCAAGGTTAACAAAAATAAAATACGAAAATGTTATGATGCAGGAAAACAAGCAAGGGTTTTGCTCAAATAGAAAAACGATCCACTTCTCCTGAATCTTCAAATACACCAGTGGAAAAGGTCACCCAGAAAGCAGTAATGAATGTTTCAAGAGTGCAGGCAATTCGGAACACTCTGCCAAAGACTGTGGGCCATTTGGAGGAAAGGGTTTTTCTTCTTTCCAGAGGATAATTTGGCGTAACTCTACAAATCGAATCCTTCATAGCAGGGAGGCACTCCGCATCTGCCTCGCCCTTGCACTAAAGCTCCTGTACCTGGCCCTGGAAACGTAGCAGGAACTCTGGAAGTGAGCACAAATATTGTTTGAGAGCAAAGGAATGGGCCTTAGAGCCAATGAGAAGCGGACCCTGTATTTACTTCAGAGTCGTTTGGTATGGCTGCATCTGGACGACGAGTTGTGTCTTGTGAAAGGAACACGCAAGCTGATAGTAAGGACTGCCATTAACTGTATTTTGGCAGGGGAAGGTGTCTAAGGCACTCTGCTGACCACGACTTGCAAAAAGAAGCACAATAGTCCTTTTTGGATCCCATTCAGCTACAGGGATGAAAAAAATATATAAATATATATATATATTATATAAATATAAAAATATATACTTATATACTATAATTTGGAGAGGTGTGAATGGGGGAAATGTTTTATGCAAATGGCCTCTTTCTGCCTGCTAAGTGCTCTTAAGATACGAGAGGAACGACACGAGAGGATTTTTACAGCCTCGAAGACCTTTGCCGTCCGTAGTGGGACAGGGGCTGGCTACAAAAATATAGATTTGAGTAAACTGTGGTTTCTCATATGTACTTGTGTGAATACACTGAAACTCACAGTGATTAAACAGACTAATTACAAGGGATAATGAACTTAGCTTTTCCTCTGTAAGAGGAAAGAGGGTGCTGCTTTGTGCTGGGCTTGACGTACGCAGAGAGGTTGGACTCAGAAGTGTAGCTGCTGGCAATTATCACAAGTGAGACACTGGGAAATCCCAGAGTTTTGTTACACGTCAGTAATGACACAGGGTAAGTGCAGTGAACAGTTCTCTCACCTTGTTCACATCAGGGAGAGTAAAATTAAACTTCATCTTTAGGACAAGTATAAAGAAAGTACATATGTAGACATAAGAAATGTTCAGTGTCGGGTCTAATCTGCAGGCTAAGAGATGCCAACTCCTCGTTCTCGTGAATCCCTGATCTTTTAATTTCAAAAGTGAGTAGTACAAACTATGGGCTCGAGAGGGGCAGAGGGCTTTAGCGGAAAGCAGCCTGTGGTGACAGACAGGCCTGGGAGCCTGCTAGCCACATCAACCTCACTCCTGCCACTGGGCTGAAGTCACCCGGCCATGGCAGCCCTGTCCTCTGCGGTGAGGCATCGGGCTCCTCTGAGGTCCTCTCCTCTCCCTCACTTCAGGGTTCATGCTCACAGTACTATGCACTTGGGTGGTCCAGTCACAAGGCAGATGTGGGAGCTGCAGTAAATGATGATTTTAATTGCATGGCAACAGAGAACGTGTAAGATGGTTCTGCAACAGAGCTACTGTTTAGTGATGAAGGACTTTTTTTTAGGCTACTGAGGAGGTGAGATTCCAACTATGTAAATGTCACGACAGGTAGGCTCTCCGTATTTCCATATTCAGCAAGGTCTCCTACTCCCAAAAACTATTTTTAACTGTTCTGATATAATTTTGATGTTTTGTGCCTTTTTTGTTCAGAGCAAACTCTAGACAATGGCAAAGAATATTATGCTAAATGAAAAGCACAAGGCCATGCATGTATTTTAACAGAACTGGTTTGAACTTCTGCTGAGATCTCTTGAAACACTCCCTATTTTCTGCACAAAAATGACCTTATTGACAATGTAAATTCTTCAATTTGTAACTTTTCAATACCAAAGTGCTACTGCATCTGCCTTAAACAAAGAAGCAAAATCATATTAAAAAAAAGAAAACTTGAAAAACAAATGGTTTTAAATAAGTCCAGCTGTTTTGCTGCCTGCAGCCAAAGATCTTTTTAATTTGATTCCTTTTAATTTTTTTTTAAACATCAAATACTGATCTGAAGTCCTGCTTTCAAATACTCTCTGAGTTGACCTGCAATTGTTTCACTCATTTAAGAGGTACATTAAATAACAATCAGCTAATTTGGAACGCACATGTGTCAACATCAGCAGTTTGTAATTAATGAGTAGTACAACAACTGCATTCAGACCAAACCCTCAAATAAAATAGTGCCATAAACTTTACAGTGACATCTGATATGTTTGTGCTGTAACGATGGGCAACGATGACGACTCTCTATTAACATGCTGTTAGTATAGGCCTTGTGTATTTGCTACAGGACAGAATATCGTGTGCACCAGCTCTAAATACCTTTCCTCTCCCCTCAGAAGATGGTGAGGGAGGAACCGTTAAGGCCTCTTATTCACTAGCCTGTTTTCCAGATGAGCTTGACAACCCTGTTCAGTTCGAGTTATTTTGTGATGCACGAACTGATCTATTTTCCAGCGCACTGGAACATGGCTTTTGTCCTGCCCAGAAATCTTGACTCCACTGAGCCGGGAGCAAATCTCACATCGATTCCATCAGAGCCAGGACTTCACCCTTGCCATGTGAACCACGTGTTGACTTTTGCTTTTGAAAGACTAGAAGGCCTCCACCACTGGTGCTGTTAGGAAGCCCAGGCAAGCTCGGGAGTAGAATGGGGCCATATGGGGTTGTATTTAGTTAGGGAATATTGAGTCTGTACATCCTGATTACTGATCCTGAGGGTTACCACTGGTGATGAAGGAAAAGCGAGGAAGGAGCAGGGAGACATGACTCGACTGGGAAGGCACAGAAATTCACAGGATTTCAGTGCCTAAATCATTCCAGGAAGAGTTGGGCACCTAAATGCCTTTGAGGATCTGAGTCCACTCAGCTGAGTAAAATGAGAGGGAGTGAATTGTAAACAATATTTCTAGATAATTAGGAGGTCACTTTACCCATCGTTATTCCAGCCTTTTTCAATGTGATAAATTTGACTTTGGCTGCTACCAAAAAAGGCAATTGCTGATCTTTTTTAATATAGGCATATTTAAATAATAATAGTATCAACAAATAAGAAAAGTCTAAATATCAAGCATAAATATCAATGAACTCATCAAAGTAGTACAGTAGTTGAAAATGACCCAAGGCTGTAGCCGTTGTATTAAAAAAAAAAAGTCCAAGAGAAAAAAGTTAAATTAACTCATTGAAAAAGGGGTTGATTCTTTCAGTTGACAAAGCAAGAAAGAAGCAAGCATGATTAAAACAAAAAAAAGAGTAAAATCTTTTTTTTTTTGCAATTTATAAGGTGCCAAGAGAAATAAAACAAATTAGATGCAAAGCAAGATGAGCTGCATCCTAAAAACAAAAACAACAAACCCAAAACAAAACAAAACAAAACCCAGCAATAAAAAATTTCCATATTCTTTGGAATATACAATATGGTTTAAAAAAAAAAAGGAAAGAATTAAGTCCAACATATAAAACCTCTCATTCACAGCATTGCTAAAACAGAAGCGTTCACAGTTTCCCTCTGGGAATCTTCCTATACTTCCTTACAGTTAATATGTCCATAAGATGCAGTAAACTCACTAAGATTTTTTTTTAGGTTTTAAGTCTTAAAAATAGAAGTGAACCGAAACTCTCTTTAGGGCTGTGGAGACCTTCAAAGCCCAGGCACATTAGAAAGCCACAGGCCTGGAAACAGACTGGGTACCTTTCTACCCACCCTTGCTACCTCCGGACCACCAACTCAGGTGTCCTCCTTTCCAGAAGCTCAGCCTCCTGTGAGGGATGCTTTGCTGGAGCGACATCGCTTCGCCAGGGGCTGGCTGATACAAGCCATGGCTCCTGGGAGCGCTGATGTCTGGAGGGTTGGCTTCTGGAAGTGATACATGAACATGGCAGGGCCCATAAGCAAGACGAGTGTTTATGGGATACCTACGGGCACTGGGAAATCAAAAGCACGTTAGTCCTGGCCCATAACTACTTAAAATTTGTTCAGTATGGTCGCCACACCGCTTCCTCTAGCCTCGCTGTGGTGGCCATGTTAGTGGGGGAGTTGCTGTGGCTCCCTTCTGCCTCGACCACATCGCTTTGGTTGGGGAGGTTGGGGTTGAGGAGCGTCGATCCCGTGGAGGCGTTGGTGCAGGGTGGGTGGATGCGTGGCGGGGACCGGTCTCCCCCCGAGATCATGGAGAACTGATAGGAGCCGGCGGAGGTTCCATAGTAGAGGTGGTAGGAGGGCGAGCTGGTCTGGAACGGGCTGCCTTGGGCTTGCGACGAGCCGGGGTAGGGAGGCGGGAGGTAAGTGTGGTATCTCGTGGCCGTGGACATGGCAGACATACCAATTCCTATCCCTGAACTGACGGGTGTCGGCGTGTAGGTGAAAGCTCCCGGGTAGTGCATCCGAGGGTCGGAGATGGAGGGGAGCCCGGAGAAGGAGCGATCGATTCCCACCCGAGGGTCACTGAACGCAGTCAAGTCAGAAGCACCTGGGTGGTGGGGAAGGAAGACAGAGAACTGTTGAACTGGCAGAACGGAGGTTCACCTGCTCGAGGCGATAACCAACATCCAGACTCTGGTCTAAGGTTAACCGAAGCGGTGTTGCTACTGCCAGAACAGAGCTATCCCTCACCTGCTCTCCAATGCAGCGGTTGCAGTGCTTGTGGATCTGGATGTTTTGGATTAATTTCAGCAAAGCATCAATTAAAGAGGAGTGCCAAGCTCTTGCCCTGCTTTGTATGTGCATGTGTTTGCTCTTAGAGACCTTACAGCACATGCAATTATTCACACTTCCAGAGTGCCCTTGTCCTCAGCAGGTGGGTGGGTGGGGAACAGGGACACAGATCTCAAGCTCCTTGCCCAGCATCACTTGACTTACCAGAGACACTGATGGGGCCTAAATATAGATTGTCCAGCTTCTGCACAGTGTCTCCTTGCACCCAGTTTTATCTGCCGACTCAAACAGGAAGCTCCATGGAGGAGAGATTGTCCTTCGGGTACACGAATGTGCTCAGGCAGGATTTACACACACAGGCTCAGCCCAGCTGTCAGCACGTAGGAGCACAGTACCCCATTGATCCTCAACAGTACCAAAGCCAAGATAAATCAGGTTCACTTAAGGTCTTCGTATCTGGGTCCTCATATGAGGTCTGCATAATTGTTACTAACTCTTGAAAATCTTTGCTCTAATGAGTACGTAAAAAAGGACAACCATACCACTGGCTTTTTAAAGCAGAATGATGTGTTTAGGCGTTGGCCTTTTTTCTTCCTTTCATGTGCGCTAGAAGCCTTTCTCATCCTGCTAAGCAAAATGGTGTATAGAACAGTCAAATTCTGCTCCACTTTGTCTGACATCAGTGGAAGTATGCCTGGTCACACCATTCTCCTTCCCTGGTGTGCAAGGATTAAACAAGCAGAGCAGATAATGGCCTCTTTAGGAAGGATCTTCTTCATGACTCAGATTAATGGAAGGTGGCAGTCCCTAGAGTTGGCAGCTATGCATGATTAAAATAACAACAAAAATAATCAAGAAAAAAATCTTTCCAGAAGACAACTTCTTCTGTCAGACAAGGCGTGGAGTCTGTAGAAGAGGAGCCATGCGCTGAAGGAAATACTCATGAGAAGCAGAGAGAAAACAAAGCTCTTGGCTCTGACCAGATTTAAAGCTAGAGCAGACATACTCCAGCGCCAAGTTCTGAAAGCTCGTCATCAACACAGCCAGCACATTTTGCTGAATTTCTATAAATTTCTTAGAAAAGCTCTGACGCATGCTGTACGCTTCCTTTTTTGTTTGCCTTCAATTTTTTCTGGAAGATTAATGGGACCCCTGAACACATTTCTTTCCCCTAGACTCCAGCACCTTTAGTTTTAACATGGCAAGACACACTACAGTATGGAATGGCAGGAGCTTCAGAGCAGCTAAGGTTGAAGGTGGCATCTGACAATATGCCAGATTTTAGATGGTTCTTCCGCACCTCAATCCCAAGAAAGAAATCAAACTTCTTGAAACTGCCTGGACACATCACTTATCAGATGAGAGTTTCTTCTGTCCAGTTTGGCAGAAAGCAGAATAAGGAAACCTAATGTCAAGATGTTTCAAGTATGTCCCATATCTTTGCTTTTTATTTTGAGGCACCGTGTCTTTATAGATTCCAGGGCCTGAAAAAAACCTCAAATTCGCTCTTTGTTCTGACAAGGAGAAATTTCTTAGATAGACAGCAAGCGTGTATGACAGTAACGGGATTGGGGAGAAAATATCATGAAAGATTTTTCTGGGAATACTGAATGACATTTACTATAGAAGTAACACTTTGGAAGCATTCTAAAAACACTGAAGATGTGTAGAGATGAGCCTCCATGTCCAGAATTAAGACAGGAAAGAAAGAATGCTGACCTGTGAATGAAACTCTTCTAGGTTCCTTCACAAGTCCTGGAGAAACTATGCCTGGCCAAGGTAAATCGCTTTGACCACGGGCACAAAAAGCACTGACAAGTCCTAGAGCTGGTGCCCTACCTGCGTGCCACAAAAGAAACACAGCATGCAGTTACTCCACGCATACACAGCTATCTTCTCTTAGACTGTGTCCTCCTGGGAGCAGCCACCATGGAATCCTCTGGTGCTCACATCACGCACAGCACAGTAAGGGCCCTGGTACACAGTGAGGACATTTGGGTGGTACGGCAATGCAAAAAATACTGCATTTCAGTACTGAGTCCATTCACTCATTTAAGTGCAACCTCAGTTGTCACACTGGCAAAGATAAAACGTGATTAACATCTCCATTCAGTCTGATTCATGTATCCACACCTACAAGTACACATGCATCAGGCACCTCTGTATAGAGTTTGAACATCACAATAGCTGGTAAGTATTGATTTCAAAGATTTCCATTGAGAAAAATGACTTTTCTAAGTAAAAAACTTGATTAAATAATTTGTTTTACTTGAAGTTTTCTGGTTGCTATGAAGATCTTTTTTTCATCCTTCTCCATTTACTCCATTTCTGCATTTTGCCAGTGGAAAGGAGTGCAAAAGGAGGGAAACAGGAGAAAGTAAAAAGGAGTATTTTAATTTTTTTTAAAAGAGTGCATCAATGAAAAAGGAGATTTTTTATAGATGTTTTTTAAAGCAAGACATTTCTTTTTTTTTTTTTTTTCCTTCTGAAAGGTTTCCTGTATTTTCATCCCTCTCTAAGAGGTAATTAGCACCCAGAGCTAACAAATAATTTACTTTTGGTGGGCATCATTCCTGTGACTCTTTCAAAGCAGGATCTATATGACAAGAATTGGACAGACAGGAGTACATTCAAGAGATTCTCTCCGATCTTAGAAGAAGCCCTGAGTGTTCAAATGAGAGCAACATGTGTGGCCAAAGAAGATATTTTTGAAAAAGCTGTGTGCAAATTTGAATTATATGGCTCTCATTCATTTTAAGAAAATGTCTGCTATTGAACACACACATATTGCTTCAATATGTGTGGGTTAGAGTCAGCAGATGGTCAGTTGAGTGTGGTGGAAACCGAGGGGGCAGCTTTCACTTCCATGCTATATTTTTCTGTTGGCTTGTAAAGCTCTGCAGTACAATTTGATGGAGATGTAACAAGACAATCCAGCACAACACTTAAAATGCCAGTCTCCACCACCCTGCAGTCAGTGTGTCCACCCATAAGCTGCTGTGCTCTGGTCTGAATTTAGAGCGAGGGAAGGAAACAGAACTGAAATATCTGTGGCATCCGTTTCTTGGCAGATACGATAGCTCTTCAGCACTCCAAACCATTTTTATAGTTCCATATATCTTCAAAGTGCTGCTTTCTCCTCTTTTTTTTTTTTTTTATTTTTTGACAATGATATGCTAGGCCCCAAACTGCATATCTTTTCTCTTTGCACAAATCCCAGCAAAGTGTTGGAGAAGGCTTGCTCCAGAGGGCCTGCCATAGGCTTCACTGTGACCAGACAAAAGCTGTGGCAGCACTCAGGGACATTGCAACCGGTTTGCATTGGAGCCAGCCTGGAGGCTTTAGTGATGTCCGGTTCCAGGGGACTAACTTTTAGGTACTTACTTGACAGCCGGCTTGAAAGCTCTGCGGTGAGGGATGTCATGCCACTAGCCCTGCCGGGTGATATCGGTGTGGCGGGGTGCACGGAGGGGGTGGCAATGGAGCCCAGGTACTGGTAGGACTGGTCGTAGGACCATGGCGGAGATGGCTGTACTTGCCTTGTGTCTGCAATGAGAAAGAGACCTATAGGCTGTTTTGAATGATAAAACTTTGCAATCGAATACGTGAACCAAACCACATAGTGGAAATGGAAACTTAAATGCCAAGATAATTACATTTCAGTTCCGTAATCCCCTTTGTCAAGAGACCTTCAGATGAATTGCTTTCTAATATATTGTTTGTGCATCTATGAGTTTTGAACGGTTGATTTTTTTTTTTTGTGAGGCTTTTTGCTATTTCACGTTGACGATGGGCAGGGAAAAGCAGGCAGGGAAAAGCAGATTAAGCTTTCCAAGGCGAAAGACTTCATCGCTGAGATGCATTAGTCTTTTGAGTTATGTGTTTGCAGCCCTTTTAGCCAAAAAGATATGTCTTGTGTGACACCAAGGAGACAAAAGGACTGAACTGTGAGTGTTTCTGTGGAAGTGTGTAAGGGGAGAGAGAAAAACAAGATGAAAATGTGAGAGAGAGAGAGAGGGGTGGAGAGTGAAGCTAGGGTCCTCCAGAAGGCAGACTCATAAGTAGACGCATAGGACTAGGGAATTTGACTTCCTCAATCTTTTGAAAATCCCAGGCTTAATGAAATGAACAGGTATTTTCTACATCTCTTTTGTATACACTGTGTATAAAATACAGAAATAAAATTCAGAGTGATGAGTACGTCTTCCAGCAGTGGTTCAACTTCAAAACAGAAAGCCTTACACAAACTAGATTGAACTGCCAAGCTGAAAATGCAGACGCCCTACAAGTACAGGCTTTCAGTAGAAAGTGCTGCTTCTTGGAAGCAAAATCTCAAAATGCACAGATGCATAAAACATTTACAAAAGAATATTAACCTATTATCTTCTAGCCACATGACTGGTTTGGCTGACGTTTGAAATCAGAGATGCATGGCCAGAAGTTTGTCCAAACCAATTGCACCAATGCAGGAACAACTCTTTTCTGCTTATTTCATATTTGCATATGAAGTTGGCATTTTTCAGTGTATAGAAATGTCTAATTTTTGTCTAAATCAAAGTGAGAAAGATTCCTTCCCCTTTACCTACCCTGGATTTTTTTTACTGTTTTTAGTAAAATCTTTTACATTTTTTTCAGCTCTAAGAGCATTCTCCTGCAGCTTCACCTACCTAATTGTCTTTTTGAAAGAAGCAAATGTCGGATGAACTGCATTCAGATAAAACTGATATCCGCATAGAAGGGAAATTTCCCAAGTCTGAGATGAAGGACTTTGATCTTCCATCAGAAAGCTCATCTGTAAATTATTATTTTGTTGTGCTTTATGGAGATGAGTTTTATATTTTGTTTATTTCATCTGTTTAGAAGGGAATATTTATATGAAACTCCAAGTCCTTAAAGAATAACTGGTGAAGTCACTTGCAAAATAAACTAAAGTCCTGTAAAGATTTCTCCACTGAGTAATATACTCAAATTCAGGTATTATTAATATTTAATTTTTTTTCAGAAAGACTTTCTTAAAAATAAATTCCGTTGACTCATGCTGTTTTAAAAGCAACATCCAATTGGATTAAATGGACTTTAGTAGAAACAAACAAAAAGACATAGGCACGAAGCCTGCCTTATTCTGAATTGCAACATCATCTCATTGTTAATGTATGGCCAGTGTTTATTAAAGGTGACAGGGAAACAGATGAGGGATCTCAGTCTCCAGGGATACCGTTAGGATAAATACCACAAAGCATTGACAGACTAAGCGCCGTAACGGTACGACACTGTGTGTTTCAATTCTGAAACAGGGTTAATTAAATCATTACTCCCTTATTTCAGCATGCAACCTCATTGATTTCAGTTCAGCAATGCGGCTGAGTACAAGAATCATGATGCATGCACAGGAGGGATCCCAGCCCAGGGATGGAAACTCCCTCGGCTGGTCCTCCTGCCTGGGGAGCCCTTGGTGCGCTCTGCCAAGGCTGATGGCACAGGTGACACAGCCTCCCCTCTATCACCTCTCTCTCAAGGGCTCTGTTCAACACTTTCACTGCAGAAGCCACTGAATCCCTTTGGCTGGGAATGTTTTACCACCTGCTTTCAGGTGCTCTGTCCTTAGGTCTTAGCAATGCAGAGGAGAGGGGAAAAGTCCGTCTCCGGAGCGATATGGGTACTTACGAAGGGAGTGCTGCCACCCATCCTTGTTTTTCAGGCTGAAAGAGGAGAATTTACTGTCTGTTTTCTCCTGTTACAAACTGTCATTGCCTGGTGGGGCAGCCCCGTCAGCCACTTTTCTACTGTTTCTTACGTTGCTGGCTCTTCAGGGCAAGAGACATTTATGAATGAGATCCTGGTCCATAAAACAGCACCAAGTGCAATAAACACATGAACAGCGATAAGAAAATGCAGGAAAAGCCGCAGTAGCAGCTGCCTCAGCGGCAGAAGAGAAAGCAAGACCTCGTCACAGATTTACTAAACACTGACAAGACTAAATTGAGATATGATTTCTTTCTTTTAGTGCTGCTAGAATTAGCTTTGTGCTGTGTCCTGACTAGAACCTGGATAATGGTCCAAGTACGCATCAAGTAACAGCCAGAAAGAGACGACTAAGGTATCTGACCTGCCTTATCCATTTGCTGTTATTACTGACCTCTGGGGTAATTACAACAGTAATAGAGAGCCCGAGAAACCCCCATTATTAATCTCCTAATCCCTTTAAGTGAAAGTTCAAACTGCCAATGAATTTTCCATCTCGTTACCTGTTTTCCCAATCCCTGTATTTGCTCTTAAAGACTGGCTTTTTTTGACATCACACTGGTTAACAAGTTGCAATCTATTCAGTGATGTTAACATAGCACATTTTATTATATACACATATTAAAGCAGGTTGTGCTGACTAACCCCAGGCATCACCTTCACAGGTGCTTAATAACAAGGGGAGAAAAGTATCACTGCAATAGCATTTTTATGGCACCATTTCAGTGTCAAGAGGCAGATTCAGCTCCCGGTAAAGACAAGGTTTGCATTTCTAGCAGCCTCAGTAGGATCTGGATCAGAGGCCTCAAACACCATTTTATTTTTGTGATATCTGCTTTTCTTCAGCTTTCAGGTTACTCAAAATTAAACTGGAACGGGTTCAAATTTGCCACAGGACTAAGCTACTCAAAAAAGGCAACAAACTCTTTCTAAGTCCATCTCTTTTCTGTTTTCAAAATAAAGAAGGGAGCTTTCAGAAGTGAGTGGCTCGTTGTGGGGAACTGAACGCGTGGGTTCTTGTGACTGAAGTTAAATTGGTGAAAATATGCTGCAAATAAACGGGAGATGCTTCCCAACTCAGAATATCTGTGAAGAGATTTGCAGGGAGAGCTACTTCGACAAAGGGAAATAACAGGGCTTTGGGCCCACACGGTTTTAAAGCCAAACAGGATTCCAAAATCATTTAAAAGCAGATCAAAATAGCACAAAGCCGAGGAAGTTGCTCCAGTCAGTGATCTGTGCTCAATCCTCCCGGTATTTCTCCCATTAGCAAGTACTTTCCATTTCTGCTTTTTATGGTGTGAGAAAATGTATTTAAAACACGAAAACAGTTATTAATTGCAATAAAACACTCCAGGGCGAGAATTATGGTGCAATAATTCACACCTTGCTGTGTAGTCACGAGCTCTCAGCCTCTAGCCTCATGCCTAACAAGCTATTAAGCAGAAAGTATTGAACCGTCTTTCGTGCCCCGTCATGTTTTATTGCCACGAAAAGGTTGCGTTCGGCTTGTTTTAAAAAGTTGTAATTAAGCTGTACAAATGTTGCATAATGCTTAATAGTTTAATGAAACGAGCTTTGGTTAGGGATTCG